CATCCAGACACAATTATCCTCTAGTCTTTCTCTAGTTGCTCTGCTCTTGTCTGGGCTGATCAGCTGATGGTGCGCGCGCGCCTAACTAGCGGCTGACGCACATTTTACGCATTTGGAGAGGTGGACTGGATGCTTTGCGTTTACTGGAAGATGGTCCACTTAACGCACGGGTGTAGACTACATATTAATGACAAATGAATGAAAATTAAATTGTGAGTTTTTACTTCATATTTTAGTAATAAAAATGACGGGGGAACACATTTATGACATCTTTTTAAACGAAATTTTCTAGCGCGACCTGCCTGCTTCACTTAAGTCACTGCTTATTAAGGTCCGTCCAAAATTACCGTGGGAAACGGGTAATAATGGCTCTTTGATGGGAACAGGTTGCCGACCCCTGGTATAAGATCTGAGCTGGTAAAACAAAAATCCTCATCAGCAGGCGTTTTTGAAAGTGGGGGGGACACAGCTGCCAATCACAAATTTTGCCGGGGACATGTCCCCAGCGTCCCCGGTTAAAATGACGCCTATGACGATGTTGGAGGAATCTGAAGGTGGTGAGTCATTCTGGCAGATTGTAATTAACACCCTGTCTCATGCAGGTGTTCTGACATTGTAAACCTCACACACAGAACATTGTGGATGTAACTAAATAAATCAAGAAATGATTCCCATTCAGGCTATTAACAGCGCGCTGAAGATCTGAAGTTCAGAGTGCGTCTGTCAGAGGTCAGACGTGTTCCAGCGGAACCACGGCTCTCGGGTGCACAAGTGAGCACATCTGGGCTGGGCAGAAGTAATTTTACAACATTGGTTTAAATAGCGCCAATAACGAGACACGGTGACTTGAGCGGCTCATGGAGCTGTGCCGCGCGCACGCACACACACACACACACACACACACACATTCAATAAGGGCGCACGCTGCGCAAACTCCGGCGCGCCGTCAGACTGAAGGCAGAAATGAGCGCTGCCTCCTCCGTGATAAAATCTTTTAAGAGGTTTTATAACATTTTTCATTCAAGGTCAAATTAAGATATTAGCTTCTATTTTGGGATGACGTATTCAAGTCGGGTCCGCTCCATCCGGTGACTCTGAACCTGACTACAACTCATGTTACTGCAGCATTTGTTATTCCAGTCTGCGTGGCAGCGGATCGCAGATTCAGCCACACCATAAAACAGCAACAAGTCAGTCTGAGGCAAAAGTGAACCTCATGGCTGTAGCTTTTCCATCTTTTCCCCTGTACACATTTGATTACGCAGAAGTAGGTGACCAGTTCAGGTTTACGCAGAGCAGAAGGTTAAACATTCCTACTTTAAGAAAACTGTTAAATTGCATTGTTTATGTGCTACCTGGGCACTCTAAATATTTATTTAAAATTAAATCAAAGGAAAATGTAATGGTATCGAATGTTTATTAATTACTATTTTAAAAAATGAAAGTGATGGGGAAAAAGGTCGATCATATTTTTTTAACCCTGTCTGTTTAGCTTGACGTCTGATATATATATATATATATATATATATATATATATATATATAAATATAAATATAAATATAAATATATATATATATATATATATATAGCCATGCCCTGATGTGGGGCTGGGGGGTGCGTCGACATGGTCGGGACATAGAAGGGGGTGCGCGGCTAAATAAGTTTGGGAACCACTGCTCTACAGTAATGAGTGATGGGTTCACATGAATGTTATTCCTGAAGTGATTTAGTTCAGATCCTAAATGACACCAGATTAGTAGTTGTTGAATTTAATGTCGATCCATCAGTACATGCACTCACTAATATTATTATTATGAATGTTTAACATATTCACTAATAAGATTTACTAGTTCGGAAATATGCATTCAGCTCTATTCCTGACTCTGTCTGAATTATTCTGAAGTGTGTGTTTCTCTGGCGGTCCTAAGACCCCAAGTTCACATCAAACCAAAGATTCAAAGACTGATAAGGTTGATAATTGATATTTATATGGAATATCACATCTTATTGATCAGTCAGTAAAAGTAACCACTTCCATCACGCTGCAGCAATAAAGAACGGAAAAAACATCTGTTGTTAAAATCGGCCCAGTTTTGCTTATCGGAGCGATACCGATATAAAACGGCTAACAACGGCCGATACCTACATTGATGCTGATAGATCGTGCATCCCTAGTATTTTTGTTTTCAAATGCTCTAGTTTAGAAATGTTCTTTAACGTTTCAAATCCCCCCTCCATGTTTACAGGGAAAACCAAAGAAAGTAGAGCCTCTCCAGCTACGTGTCCCTCTACTCGGATGGTTTTCTGAACACCTCCGACCAGCCCTACGGCAGGTTGTTGCTGACCAGACTGGACAGGTCATTGTTCTGGTCCAAAACACATCAACGCGACCCTCCGACGTCCAGACGGGAGTCAGCAAACGTCTCAGAGTGGAGCTCACGAAAGGATCTTTGTTAGGGGCGTGCACCCCCACAACTGCTGCATCAAAACGACCCGCTCTGCTGCTCTATTTATTGTGTGTGTGTGTGTGTGTGTATTTGTGTTCTGACTGTGTGTGTTATGTGTGTGTGTGTTGTGTGTTCTGACCATGTATGTATGTGTGTGTGTGTGTTTGTGTGTTATGTGTGTGTGTTCTGACTCTGTGTGTGTATTTGTGTTCTGACTCTGTGTGATGTGTGTTCTGACTCTGTGTATTTGTGTTCTGACCATGTGTGTGTGTGTGTGTGTTCTGACCGTGTGTGTGTGTGTGTGTGTTCTGACTGTGTGTGTGTTTGTGTGTTCGTTCTGACCATGTATGTGTGTGTGTTCTGACCATGTGTGTGTATTTGTGTTCTGACCATGTGTGTATGTGTGTGTTCTGACCATGTGTGTATGTGTGTGTTCTGATTGTGTGTGTGTTCTGACCATGTGTGTGTGTGTGTGCGTGTCCGTTCTGACCATGTATGTGTGTGTGTGTGTGTTCTGACTGTATGTGTGTGTGTTCTGACCATGTGTGTGTGTGTTCGTGTGTGTTGTGTGTTCTGACCATGTGTGCGTGTGTTCGTTCTGACCATGTGTGTGTGTGTTCTGACTGTATGTGTGTGTGTTCTGACCAGGTGTGTGTGTGTCGTCCTCTAGACACTCATGTATTAAACTAAAGGAATTTGAGGGTTCTGATTTATTTAGTTAGACGTCGTCTACGCAGCTCCGTTTTTCTTTGATGGAATTAAGTTAGCATTCCGGCAGCTGTACAGATGAATATAAAGAACAGACACTTGTTAAAAATGTCCGACTTTTATCTTTTCTCCCTCGTCATAACGTAACTAGCAACATGTAGTGAAAGAACTTACTTAAAAGTTTCTAACTGTATTCAGATAGTTATGTTTGTGTCCATGCTCACAGTGTAAACAATTTACTGCTGGGTAAACAAAACTATCTGATGTTTATTCACAATAATAAGAATCATATAATTTCCTCTTCCGCCCATAGTTGTTCCCTTCTTTTCTCGTCATTTTTCTCATCTCTCACTGTCCACTGTGTTCCCACCATGCCAAGCCATAAACGCCATAAACTACCCAACAGGACCAGTGACTCTGACTTAGTGAGTCACGTAGATTCAGTTTGAAATTTTCAGAACAGACAAACAAAGTTTGGTAAAAGGCAGATCTTTACTGGACTGAACCATCTAAAAGCTTATTTCAGACTGGACGCAGAAAAGAAACTAATCATTAGAAAGGGCTAATTGAAAATCCAGAATAACGCATTTCTCCTTCCAGCCTTGGCTGATTGGGGGTGTAACAATGTTGCACAAAAGTTATCAATTCCTTGCATCCTGGTACATATGTGCAAAGTTAGCATTAGCCACACATACAAAAGACTAATGAGAAAAACTACAACAGAAGAGGGACCCTTCGTGTATTCTTGTACAGGAGTTAGAATTATGAGCTAGCCAAATATCCAGAATATCAGTGGTTGCTGGTGCATCCAGGAGGTTCACTTCTGCATCAACTTGATACAATTTTGCTGAAGATGAGGTGAAACGGGCGAGGGGCGACGGTGGCAAAGGAGTTAAGTGCTCCCCCGTAATCGGAAGGTTGCAGGTTCGAGCCCCGCTCAGTCTGTCACTGTCGTTGTGTCCTTGGGCTGCTGGTGGTGGTCGGAGGGATCGGTGGCGCCTGTGTCAGTGCGCCCCAGGCAGCTGTAGCTGCATCGTAGCTCATCACCACCAGGGTGTGAATGTGTGAATGGCTGATTGTGTTGTAAAGCATCTTGGGGGGTTCCAGGATTCTAGAAGGCGCTATATCAAATGCAGGCCATTTCAAATACAGAAACGAAGCATGAAAAAAAACATTCCAGTTTGGGACCGGCTAGCCGTTAGCTCGTCAGTCTGATCCGACTTCTCCATTTCTCTGAACTGTGGAGAATGAGGTAGCCAGCCAGAGTGGGTGAGAAATGACTCAACTTTCACACAGAAACACACTTCAAGGTGTCAGAAAAATCCCCTTCAGCCGTTTTAAAGTTAAAAACAAATGGGTCTTATTGCACTAGCATCAAAGAGATTCCTGAATGCTCAACTCAAGTAAAACCTTTACACTTAGACCAGTATCGACACTGAACAGGAGCGACTTACAGAAGCAGAGTCAACTTTTTGGACAAAGTCTGATTAGTTTGAGAGACTGTCACATTTGAAGTTAGATCAGCCGTTTCTTTGGATGGTTTTTTTTTTTGGTGTGTGTTTTTTTCTGTAAAATCCTCGTCTCTGAATCGGTGTAAATCATCTGAACTAATAAGAAACCGCCCCCCTAAAGGTGAGCTATTCCACTAAAAGTAGCTCCTTTCTACTCAGACCCATTTTATAACGTTTCTCTAAAATAAATCTCACGAGCTTGTTATAACTGTAGATTCATCGTGCCCGAACAGACCCTTCAGAAGGAGGCGCAGTCCAGGAACATTCCTAAAATGAACGCCGCTCCATTTTCCCGTCTCCACACAACATCCCGAGTGTCAGAGCCGACTCGGAGTGCGAGTACTCAAAAGTTCTTTATTGTGGTAAAACAGACACGATTAGATTAAAAACAGAATTCTGAGGTGAAAACCAGCTCAATACAGGAGATGATGTCATCCAAAGGCTCTGTCTACTTCCTGGTGATGTTGTTGCTGAACCCAGTTTTAACTTCCTCTCAAAGAAAACCACTCCTTTATATTTACATCTATAAAATACTTGTTTACACATGATGGGTCACTTGGAGGCAGAGTTAAAATATAAAGAAAAAGAGCCGCTCTCATCCTGGAATCAGGCTCTGGTCCTGCTTTATTGCCACTGGGCAAGGCACCAGCACCTTCCCTAAGCTGGTAGATAACCACCATCCTTACGGAGCAACGCGGTGAAAGGATGACTTCCTGGATCCCTCCAGCGTCCATATTTAAATGTTCTTGTTTGGGTTTAAGACGTCCAGATCCTGTTTGGAAATCTGAAACCATTCAGGAGGATAAGTTTGAACACAAACACTTTTTACAAATGCACACACACACACACACAAGGAGAAGAGGAGTTACCTGGCTTTCTATAGCTTCCCTTTATCCAGGTTCTCTGTTTGTTCCTGATGAGGAAAATGCAAATCAGTTTTTAATGTAGTAAATGAAGTTTGTCCCACTGCAGCCTGTCCATCATGGCTTTCCCTACTCATACAGTCAGGATGACGAAGCTAAACGCACCAGGAAGACGTGAAGCAAACACGGATGTCGACGATGCTCCTCCACCCTAAAACAAACTTGGTTTGGATGTTGATTCAGTCAAGCCTGGTGAATCCTAAAGGACTCGTACTAAAGCCTAGACAAAGACCGTCGTTTCTCGGATTACAGACACTTAATATCGGGATCGGATCCGTTTTACATCCCATTTAAATTAACTGTAATAAAAACACGATGAGTAAAATGGCTCTTTTCGCACAAACAGGTCTGAACATTTATCAAATGGCTGTATAGCGCCCCCTACAGCACCCACATCTTAATGGTTCTACCCACAGCTATGGAATTCAGGAGTCATGGCGCCAACTTAAAAGAACTATAAAAACTGTTCCCAGGAGGTGTGGCCTAAATCCAACAGGAACACTTTAGATAAAATAAAACATTTTGGCATTTTTACACGTGCAAAACTCCTGTGACCTTAAAGTATCTGTTCTAAACGTGTTTGTGTTTCTCACGGTTTTTGCTATGAATCAGCAAAAAGACCAACATTTATCTTTTTACAAGTTTATTGAAATTATTTTGGCTAACAATTTCTTTGGCTTAGGACAGTATTTCTCATGTAGTGGGGCGTGCTACAAACACCACATACGTAGATGCCCGGTGGATTGGCGCTGCCCATTGAGAGCTGGGGTAGCAGCCGGAAGCCACCTTGGATGGGTCTCCATTTGCCCCCAGTGCATTTATTTCTACTGAGGAAGGTGTTCACTGCGCTAAAAACCACATGTGGTATGACATGACAGTTAACGTATAAACTAGGGCTGCTCGATTATGGCAAAAATAATAATCACGATTATTGTGACTGAAATTGAAATCTCGATTATTTAAGAAGATTTTTCGATTAATGTTGATTTTATTTGTTTTTAATTCAGTCATAAAATTGCTCAGGGCACAATCAGGACAAAAATAAATAAGAAACAAGATGATCACTAAAATAACTCCTGATTCCCAGTATAAAAAGACCAATAGACTTATAGCTCATAGTTTTTGACCCAAGGGCTATAGACCTTGGTTTAACTCATTTAAGTCTAACCAGTACAGACCCAAATACCAATATCTTGCAAATACTGGCAGCAAGAATTATACAGCAGCATTTATAACAAATAAACGCAAAAAAACTGATGTTCACAAAATGTTGCATAACATTTATTTAGTCGTGTCAAGGTGCTGTAGGAGAGTGCACTAGCACCGTGTCCTCAAAGAGATTAGTTATTATTTATCAGCGTGAGGAACTTATTTCTACCTTATTTATAAACTATTTGTCAGTTAATGTAATAATTGTCCCAACCACAGCTGCATCCCACCCCCAACTTGGTCTCACAGCAATCAGGGCAAGCTGCACGAGTGTTTAGCGCGCCGCACACGCACATTTAGGTTGGTTTATGCTTGACGCGTCTGCGAGGTTCGCACGGCTCCTCGTGGCAAAATTGCGTCATTCTAACAACCACGCCCCTCCACCGCACCTCCGCACGGCCCAAACTTACGGCACCACGCACCTAGGAAATTTTCTAACCACGAGGACGGTCGGACGTGGAAAAACATGGCGGACTGGCAAGAACTAGTATGGCAGAGGTTCGTAAATACAGACGTTTGTATGATTCAGCTCTCAGAGATCACCGTGATCAACATGTTGTTAATAATTCTTGGAGAGAAATAGCTCGTACTGTCAGAAAAGACGAGGATGCTGTTAAAAAATGCTGGAAAAACACGAGGGACCGATATGTGAAGGCAAGGAAGGGGAACAAACGGAAAAGCGGTGATCCTGGTGGAAACAAGAACGCTCCACCAATTCTAAAAGAGCTGAGTTGGCTCTCAACTTTCATTAACAGCTGTTATAAACAACAGTAATTTTTACTTCTACTATGTGTAGTGTTGGATGCATGCCGTAGAGCTCCATGCTGCCCCCTACAGTTTGGGAGAATATTGGCTCACCGCAGAGACAAGCCGCATGAACCATTGACCCCAGAATTCCACCATCTCCGCTCCGCCCCCGCCCTCTGCTACCGCTCGCTTCCGAACTCAAATTACACTATACCCGCTCTACAACGGCTCCGCTCCGGTGCGGAGACCTGAGGTGCGCAAACAGGCATGCGTTGGATTTTCTAGATCTTGCGATACAGTCCGAGGAATAAACGCAGAAGTTCGATCCAAACACCCGTTGTGTGGGAGAAGCATCGAAATGAACTGTTTAATCTGACCATCATTTGTGTTGAGAGATCAGCAGTGTTTGGATCAACAAAGTGTGACTACTTTGATAGTGGAAACTGTATTTATGGCTTATTTTTGTGCATTTCACGTTCATCCGCCATTGATAGTTGTTAAAAGTTGTTAAACCTGTGCATATGAAACAAAAAACGCTTTTTGTTTATCGATTTATTGTGAAATAACGGAAGTTGTGCTTGCTCCCTTTCCTGTTGGGCGGTTGTGATGTCTGTCCATTGACTGCGGAGGTGCTCCGGCGTCCAGCAAAAATAGAGTCGATCCTATTTTTGCCAGATGGCGGAACGGCGGGCGTCGCACTGTGCCGCACAGCCGCAGTAGTGGAACAGCTCTGATTGACTACAACGGGCCCGTTTTTGCTGTGGAGTTCATGCCGGAGCGGAGATAGTGGAATTTTGGGGTAACGCTGCAAGTTGTGAAGCGCGTTCCATCCGCGAGCCGCATCACCAAGCGGAAAGTAAATGCGTCAAGCATAAACCAGCAGCTCAGGAGCCCGCAGGTACAATGTGTTTCACTCACTCTGGTTAATCCAACAAGGAGCCGGCTCTGAGAGCCATTTCATAGCGACTGACACATCACTACATCATTCCCTTTCCTAATGTCCTGAAGAACGGTCCGGAGCGCAGGCGGAGTGTTTAGATAACCTGCAGGAAATGTCGACAGTTATCCAGAAAGGAGCTACAGGTTACCAGAGATGTTTCTGAGGTGTTCGCTAGGTACTTTTAAGATTTAAAAAGTCAAGAAGGGGGTCTGAGAAGCTTTCAGAAATAACGTCAAAATCGCCAAGTTGGCAACACTGTGGGAGGAGCGCTTCATTTGCAACTCAGGGCAGCGCAAGTGGGAGGAGCAAATAATCGGCTTGTTTTGTTTTTATAATCGTAATTGGGATTAAAATTCGATTCATTGAGCAGCCCTAGTATAAATATAATAAAATTAAATTAAAAATCCCAACAGGTAGTCTAGAAAAGTCGACAGTAATCCCACGTGACCCGTTTTATGGCATGCCGGTTGTTGCAACCGTAGGCTGCACATAAAACAAGCATGGTTGCTCATTGTGCGCCGACTCCAGCTAGGTTTCGAGATTGAGGAGCCCATCTAATATGGTGGTAATGTTACTACGCTCTCCAGCGCCCAATGGCACATCTACGTATTCATGTCTATTGAGCCAAAATTAAAAAATAAAATACTACTTTGAATAACTGCACACCCTTAATTTGGCTTGATGATAGACTTCAAAGCTTCTTTTACAAATAAATGTGCACGAATGACATAATTTCTTCTACATAAAAAATGAGGGAAAAGAAACAAAAGCAGACCAAGACTGATAAGCGAGCGCATGATTGATCTTTTCCGTTGGATGTGATATGTTTGGGCTTTCATAAAGATCACGATAAGAAATGAACCGCAGCGTTTTTCCAGCTTCACATCAGAGAGAATAAAAGGCCGATCCAGTTTGTTCTCAGCCATAAATTAGAAGACGACGGACGTGTTTGCTGCTGCTGATGATGATCACCTGCAGCGCCACGCTGTATTTAACAGCCCTCCTGTGATGGAAACACATGACGGTTGAGCTGGAGGCAACAAGCTGCTTTTTTTTTTTAAATCAAGAATCTTCAGATGATCGTTTCATTCATTTTACAACAATTACATTCACTTATTCCATTAGAGCGAAGCGCTGAGGAGGTAGGAAGCTAATCGTGTCGACGCAGGCGCCGCTTTGTCTTTTAGATGTATTAAGCATAGACGAAGAGTCGCTCTTCCCTTTTTTATTTGTCCAGATTTCACATTTAATAATTTCATACACAAAACAGCTTCTGAGAGCTGAAAGTTTTTACAGCAAAATGTCAACGAGTTGTTTGACATCACGGACTCTTTTATAGCTGGGATTGTAACACTTTGGTTTATCGAAATCAAGAGTTTTCTACTTGGTTAAATCCTTCTCATACATTTATCTAAGACGCACCAACTTTATGACACGGGTTGCTGGGTCTAATTTCAGGGGCTCCATCTTTCAAAGGCTAATTTAAAGTTTGATTACGTCGCAACGACACGATGAAGGCGGTCCAAACTTGAAGGTTCCTCTAAATCGGGGCAGATTTTCAGGAGGTAGAGCAGGTTGCCTCATGATCAGAGGATTGTGAGAGAGATCCCAGCTCCCACCAGCGGGATTCTACTGTTGTGTCCTTGAGCAAGACCCAACTTTCCTTTGTTAAAGGTAAAGTCTCATTAATCGTCATACACACTGATGTGTGTGCGATATTAGTTCTCCACATTTGACCCATCCCCGTGGGGAGCGATGAGCTGCAGACTCATGTGCACTCAGGTACTATTTGGTGGTTTAACCCCCCAATCCAGCCCGTTAATGCGGAGCGTCAAGCAGGGAGGCATTGGGTCCCATTCTTAAAGTCTGGTATGACACGGCTGTGGATTTGAACCCTGTTATCCCAGTGCCAGGGTGGACACTTATACCACCAGGCCACTGAGCTGGCGTTGATGGTGGTCAGAGGATGCAAAATGGCAGCCTCGCCTCTGTCAGACTGCCCCAGGGGGAGCTGTGGCTACATGGTAGTTCATCACCAGCGGTGTGTGAAGGTGAGTACGTGAATAATGGAAAGTGCTTTATAAATCCAATCCA